CAACTACATCTACCACAGAAACAACAACTTTAACAACTACAGGTACAACAACTTCAACAACAACTGATACAACAACTTCAATAACTACAGGTACAACAAGTACATCTACCACAGCTACAACAACTTCAACAACAACTGATACAACAACTACAACTACCACTACCACAGTAACAACATCATCAAAAACAACATCATCAACAACAACATCAGCAACAATATCAACAACAACATCATCAACAACAACATCATCAACAACAACATCAACAACAACAACATCAACAACAACAACAACATCATCAATAACATCAACAACTACAACAACATTAATAACAACATCATCAAAACAACATCATCAACAAAAACATCATTAACAACAACATTATCAACAACAACATCAACAACAACATCAACAACTTTACAACAACATCATCATAAGACTAAATGATTGATGATGGTATCCTAGTGCTGAATATGGTAAAACAACGAGCAAACATATGTACACAAATTATTCCTTAGAAACTTCCACCATGCAAAAACAACAACAACAACAACATAAACAACAATGATCATAGCAAACCGCAACAACAACAAAAACAACAACAACAACCACAACAACCCCCAAAACAACAAAAGCTACTATCATAACGACAACGACACTGATAACGTCAGCAAAAAAAAAGCGTCTCACCTGACCAAAAACAGGGATGTGAGAGTACTGCTGATGCTGAGGATGATGATAAAATAATCGGAGTGAAAAAATCACTGAAGGAAAAAAGACAGGTTGAATGAATAAAAGAATGAATGAATGAATTAATGGATGGATGGATGGATGGATGGATGATTGAATGAATGAATGAATGAATGAATGAATGAATGAATGAATGAATGAATGAATGAATGAATGAATGAATGAATGAATGAATGAATGAATGAATGAATGAATGAATGAATGAATGAATGAATGAATGAATGAATGAATGAATGAATGAATGAATGAATGAATGAATGAATGAATGAATGAATGAATGAATGAATGAATGAATGAATGAATGAATGAATGAATGAATGAATGAATGAATGAATGAATGAATGAATGAATGAATGAATGAATGAATGAATGAATGAATGAATGAATGAATGAATGAATGAATGAATGAATGAATGAATGAATGAATGAATGAATGAATGAATGAATGAATGAATGAATGAATGAATGAATGAATGAATGAATAGGTGAATGAATGAATTAATAGATGAATAAATTTATATATAGATTAATGAATGAATAAACCGTGAAACAAATTTCAGAGTGAAAAACGCTGGAGCGAATGTGTCAAGGGAATGAATGGAAAAATGAATGAACAAAAAAATGATTAAAACGACAAATATATAAACAAACAAACAAACAAACAAACAAACAAACGAACGAACGAACAAACGAACAAACAACACATCCGTTTAAGCATAAACGCCAGGGAACGCAGACGGATGCATGATCTGAATGACGCACTGGATGAATTGAGGTTGGTCTCTTCTGCCTGTCTGTCTATCTTGCATTAAGTATGTCTGTCTCTCTGTCTGACTGTCTGTCTCGTTCTAGGCCTGTCTGTTAATATGTCTATCTGTCAGTTATTAAGTCTTTTTATCTGTAGGTCGGTAAATGAAGGCAGGATATTTTCTTTGATGAATTTTTTGTTGGATTCGGTCAAAGTTATCAGATCGGTCTTTTTCAAGTTTTCCAACTTCACATCTTCAACTTATCAACTCCTTATGTTCGTAATTTAAATAGGGACTCGCATCTCTAATAATAATTTTTCAAATTAATTTTTTCGTCGGTATACGGACGTCAATGATGACGTCATTATCCAGTTAATGTTCAACTGGATTCGTCATCTAAGTGCCCATTTACCTCTTGAATGTAGGCCTGTGGGTTTCACTGTTTAAATGCTTTTCATAAATATCTCTCTCTATGTATGTTTATGGTTTGTTCGTATGCCTACCTATATATCCGTATGTTTATTTTTATTGCTTTGTTTTAGCGAGCCAGCCAATCATGTAACTCCACGACAACCTACTCACAAACAGATCAGTCATTCCATACGCGCACAGTCCCTCGGTCAGGAAACTTTCAAAAATCGCGACGCTCCTATTGGCCAAAAATTTCATCCTGATGCAAGCCAATGCACTGGAAGAGCTGAGACGTTTCCTTGGTTACCCGCCAACCAATCAGATCTCTCATAACCTCAGTCACAATCCCCATAGCAACAACAACATCAACAACAACAACAGCAACAACAACAACAACATCAACAACATAAGCGGTAGTAACCATAGCAACCGTAGCAACAACAACAGTAAACATAGCGATAAAGATGTCATTATTGGTCTAAATAACAACAACAACAACATCAACAATAACAACGATAGCAACAACAACAGCAACGAAATCAACAAAACAACCAACACCAGTCTGAAAACTTCGAATTACGACATTAACAATATTGTTGCTAAGAATTTCAATCATAAAAACAAATTGAACGGCAACAACAACAACAACCTCAACAACAACAACAACATCAGTTATCATAAAGACAACAACATCAACAACAACAACAAACCCATCCTCGTCGATAACGAAAATGAAATGGAGAAGACAATGATGAAGCATCAGCCCTTTCTGCAACGAAACATCAACAACAACAACATCAACAACAACAACAATATCAACACCAACAACAACAACATTAGTGTTAATAATAATAATATTAGTAACAACAATAATAATAATAATAATAATAATAATAGCGATATTAATAGTAGCAGTAACAACATTAACAGCAATAACAGTAACAACAACGCCAACAAATTTCACAAAGTCAAATCTTTCCTGAGTATAGAAGAATGCATAAACACAAAATACAGTGGCGTCAACAACATTAACAACAACAACACAAAAACATCAACAACTACAACAACAACAACGACAAAAGCAATATTCAGCCCGTGGTTTGCCGACCAAATTTGTGGTACTAACGACAACAATGACAGCCGTAGCAACAACAACATCAACTACAACAACAACATCAACAACGGATATAACAACATCAGTAATAATAACATTAACGGCGTTTTTAACAACACCATCAACAACCACAGCCACAACAACAACAACAACGATAATAATAATAGTAAACACAGCATTAATAATGTTAATAACAACAATACGCCAACAAGCAGTAAGTTGATTCCAGCTCAACTACCACTACCATTATCAGCACTCCCTCTCCATCCACATCATCATCATCACCACCCCAACAGTCTCTCACCTTCTCCGATATTACCGCTACTACCATCATCACCGCCATCATCATCATCATCGTCGTTCTTATCACCATCACTCCATCATCAGCAGCGGCATTTCATTAATGCGATAACTTCCTTTACTCCATTTTACCATCATCATCAACAACAACAACATCAGCAGCAGCAGCAGCAAAATATTAATCATCATCATCATCTTTTTCCTACTAACTATGCCCCCCACCACCACCACCATCATCATCATCAGTTCACTCCTCATCATTCTCATCATCATCTATCCCATTTCCTGTTGGCTAGTCTCAGATGTAACATACCACCAGCAGCAACAAC